TTGACTAGGGTCACACAACTAGTAATTGTTGCAACCATTCTTGAACCAAAGCAATTTGGTTCCCAAGTTTGTGTTTTAAGCTATGTTAGTTATGCTTCCTCTACTAGTGATATTTGTTCGTGTAATTAAGAAAGAAGTGCTTATTGCATTCCTACTTGATCAACACACAAGGCCCTGTCCTATGTTTTGGGGATTCAGCAATGAATGAAATCAATCCATGCCTTCATGAGTTTATATTCTAGTGGGGTAGTCAGATAAATAAAATAAATGATAATAGGGTATTAGAAGAAGATAAATGACATGGAGAAAATAAAATGCTTGTGTGTGATTCAATTTAAAATCACAAGGTGACATTTAAGCAAAATCTTGGCAGACAGAAAGAAAGCAGGAGGAATGGTCAAGCTGACAGCACAGTAACTGGGAAGGTTGAGGTGGGTGCTTGTCTAATGAATGTGAGAGACAGTAAGGAGGCCAGGGCTAGAGGGGATTGACCTAGGGGGTAAATTGTAGGTGATGAGATGTGAGAGATAATGCCCTTCTTTTGGCACTTTACATCTGGGTTTTTGTAAGAACTTTAGCTTTAACTCTGGGGAGGCTAAAGCCTTCTTTGAGTGGGAGGGTTATACCTGGCTTAGTTTCAATAGGATCCCTCTGGCTGCTCCATGGAAAGCAATGAGGAGGTAATTGTAGTATTAATAATTCTGGTGAGATGCTGGTGTCCTGGGCCAATGTGATAGCAGTGGATAAGTTCTATATATCTGAATATATTTTAAAGATAGACCTGCCATCTTGTAAGTTGGATATGGGATATAAGAAAAAGAGAAGAATCAAGGATCCCTCCCAAGAGTTTTTTTTTTTTTTTTTTTTTGCCTGAGCTTAAGGATGGCATTAACATTATCAGAAATGGGAAAGGCTGTGGGCGTAGCTATTTTGGAAGATTAGAATTTCAATTGTGGACAGATAAATTTGAGATTTCATTAAACTTCCAAGTGGAGATTATTTTAAAAGTTTTAAAGAAGGCACTTAGGCATAATATGTTTGATCTTTTAAACGTTAACTTAAATTTGCTGGCCCTCTGAGAGAATATTTCCATCTTAGAAAAATCAGTAAGGAAGAGCAACTATAAAACAAATTGTTATTCTTATGTAGATAAAATAGAATCTAATCCACCTTCTCCTAATTAATAAGGCACTGTGGCGTCCTGGTAGCTCACGGTGATTGTATAGTGGTTAGTACTCTGTGTTGTGATATGGTAGTAATATAGTTTGAGTACTTATTGAGAGAAGCATCATAACATAGTGGTTTAAGTATGTTGATTCTAGAACCAGTTTGCCTAGGTTTAAATTCTTATTATGCTATATTTGCCCTGAAACTTTGGTTGAATTAAATTTACCTCTTGGTGCCTCAGTTCTATCATCTATATGATGATAAAAATAATACCTACCTAAAAGGGATTTGTTTATATTTGTAATGTGTTTAGAGCAGTGCCTAATACACAGTGCTAAGTATGTGGTACAATTGTCTTTCAGATAACCTGCTAAAAGTCTGTTTTACACTTGTACTGAATATACTCATAAGGCCCTAACAAAACTATACCATCCTTTTAAAAAAGGTTATGTGTTTCATATAAAGCCATGCATCCGCAAATATGTGCTGATGAAAAGTGCAATTCCCAGAAAGGAGTTACATAAACTCAGTTCTATAAATCTTTAATGCTTCTGGTCTGCTTGCTTCTACGTGCTAGATCTTAACTAAAATTATTAATTGGTTCTTTCTATCTATAATAGTACATAAGGATTCTTAAAATGTGGACCTTATAAAAGCAATTCTTTTAAAAAAATTGACAATGGCTAGCCCATTCTAGGGACTTAGGTCACATCTCTGACTACAATTGCTCATTGCTTCTTTAAGTAACAGTGCTTATCAAACTGCTTTCCAAGGAGGTTTTCACCTTTCCATATGTTCTGCAAATAGTCTGTAAAAATTATTATAGGGAAATGATTTTTTTTGTTTGGTGCTGAATCTCTATTTTCTCTGTGCGACCTGCTTAGTGTCTCAGTATTCTGCCTTTGGCATGTTGACAGGAGGATTTTAAGGTGAAGATTCTTTTGACACGATAATTTTTATATTGGTTCTAAACTAAAAATAGATACCATATTGCATGGGTACTCCCTTAGTTTGTGTAGGTTGAGTGGGACTGATCCTACTCTTTATCTCTAGGAAAGGGACTGTGACACAAACCTGGCCAATTGGGGATTTTCTTAGGGCTTTTGCTGGAACCATTGGGAAAGTAGGGTTCTCTGTTGGGATTTCTAGCTTTAGAGATACTGGTGGTCATGTCTGCCACCACATGAAGAAAGCTTGTTGGGAAATGAAAGTAGTACAGAGGAAAGCAGTAGTAAGAGACAAAGAAAAATAGGTTTTTAATTACATTTTGAACTATTTCATCTATTTCTGATGCTGAATGAGTTATATGATCCAATAAATTTTCCTACTCCCTTTTAAAATCAGGCTTCCAGTCCTCTATAAATGATTGAACCTAAATCACTGATCTATGGCATATTCTGTGCAAAGCTTTCAAGCACTTCTCTTGGTGTGATAACCAAGGTTTTACTATTTAAGCATTTTAATACTTACATATTAATATTTCATGATCACTGTTGTGTAGACCACATATATACAGTTATAGCACATGAAATGACTTAACATGTAAAACTTAAAAATATGTGCTATTATATGTCCAATTAGTCTTAACTGAATTTTGTGATAATTTGAAAATTATAATTGGTAGTTTCAGAATAGGGCATCAAGTCAAAAGAGCAAATGAGTAATTAAATGATTGCAGAAGGAAAGAAAACATTACTCATATCCAGCAAGGGCATTCATTCTGTGCTTCATAAATACATTCACATTAGAAACCACCAAGTTTATTACAGGTCCACAGTCCCTGTTTCTAAAGGGACAGAAAATCTGTCCTGAAGACAGATTTTTTTAAAGCCAAAGTTCTTCAGCTCCTTTAAGTTCCTTTTTTTTGGTCTGCTCCTTTTGGTCTCTATTGTATTGAAGATTTTCCTAAAATGTTTGTTGATGCTTATCTGTCCATATTTGAATGGGAAGCAAATAAAAGGCTTGATTAGAGTGTATTTCACCACCACTGCCTTGGGTATATCAACTTGGAGGACTTTATTACTGACGGAATTGGCTTTTTCTGTGGGCCCCCAAATGTCCAATGCTGTATGTCTTTTCTCCTGGGAGGGGTCCCTGCAATCGACTGTCTGAGGTGGGGAGTCTATCTGATAGTATTCTGGATATAGGCTGGGGAAGGAGCCTACAGGTGTCATGGATTAGCATGATTGGGGACTAGCGGGTAGGGCTTGGTGGCCTAACTGCTCTTTACACAAAATTTTCAGCCAATTATGTTTGTACATTTTTTTGTGTGATAAAATATACATAAAATTTACCATTTTGCCCAATTTTAAGTGTAGAATTCAATGGCATTAAGTATCTTCACAATATTTCACAACATCAGCACTATCCATTTCCAGAACTTTTCATCAAGTAAAACAGAAACTCTGTACCCATTAAACAGCTACACCCTCTTCCTACTTCCATCTGGGCCCTGGTAACCTCTATTTTATTTTTTATTTCTATAAATTAATGTTGCCTATTCCAGGTGCCTCATATAAGTGGAATCAAACAATATTTGTCCTTTTGTGTTGTTTTAAACTTTTTGGTTTTCAAAATAACTCAGTAAATTGCAAAGGTCAACAGCTCTAAGTGGCAACATGGCCACAGGAACCTAAGTACATTTGTCAAAGAGTATACTCTTAATCACTAGAGTGAGCTTTTCTCCCCATCCATATATATATCCATATACAGCAAGTGTTTTATACTTGATACTATATCCAGAATATTTTCCATATGAAAATTCTTTGAAACATTTTAATGCTTCCCAGTAATCTATCATTTTGAATATATCATGCTTTAATTAGTTTGTTGTTGACATTTAATGATTTGTTTTGAATTTTAAATAATGTATCTCTTTGTCTACAAATACCTGCATTTCTGATTAGAACCCTAGGATAAAACAGAATGTAATTTCTGGTTTAAAGAATAGAACATACTTACCATTTGACAATTATTGTTAAATAACCCTTCAGAAATGAGCCAATTTATAAAAGTATTAAGTCATTTTTATCAACACTGAAGTATGTTATTTTTCCTAAATAGGTAAAAAATAATGTATCCCTGGTTGTCACAGATTTCTTTAATAAGTAATAAAAATATTTTACTTTATTTACTATTTTTTTATATGTTCTGTTTATGTCACTAGTTCATTTTCTATTAGAGTCTGTGTTTTTAAGTATTCGTATAAAGTTGTATGTATAGTATTTTGTGGCAAATCTATTCCCAATTTTTTTCTTTGCTTTCAAATTTTTGTGGTATTTTTGACTAATGGGTAAACAGAAAGTCGAGTTCTGTACTCAGTCATTCTCTGTCTGGTTTGTTGAGATCTAAAAGATTCTTTGCTGGGGGTGCTTTTGCATTGTCATTGTAGTTTTCAAAGTAGAAATATTTTTATTGCTTTTAGTAATTAAAAAAGTAATAAATGAATGCTCTTCTAACAAAGTATTCAAACAGTATATAAATATACAAAGTAGAAAATTAAAGGCTCCATAATCTCATTTTCATGTAACCACCTATAGATAGTATGGGAAGATTTAGTCATATATGCAAAGAAATGTAATACATGAATAAAATTAGACAATTATTAGCTCTAAGAAAAATGTAATCATAGCACACTCCTTGTCTCAAAAGTAAAATTTATTAATACATGGTAATAAAATATATATACATATATATATATATATATATATAAGGATTTAACCAAAAGTTATACCATGGTCATATTAGGAAGATAGAGGAAGGTAAGGGGAGTATAAGAAGTTGAAAAATCCTCCTTTATCTAACCTTTATGAATTAAGTGACAGAAATATATGTAAGTATATGTATTTATTTAGCAATATGTTTGTACATATGAAAAGAAACAGCTAAAGAAGTTACAAGTAGTTGCTTCTAGGGACAGGAATTTGGTGCTGTAGGCAGGGCAGACAAATAACTGCTGTGTTTGATTACAATCCCTTTAGAGCTACTTTACTTTTTATTTTATAGGTATTTACAATTTATTCAGATTGGGATAACGCTACAAGAAATAAGATGACAACATTATTTAAAGACAAAATTCTCTTGAAAAGTTTATTGATACTATTATTAACAATAAATCATTCAACTTTTCAGTCTTTATGACATTTTTGTTTTAAAGATTAAATTTATTTCAAAAGTCTTCATGTAAACCAATCAAACGTGAATAAAGCTTTTTATAATGAACTCAAATGTTTTTAATATCTATATTTTTTCTTGGGATGACAATAATATTCCTATGACAATATTAAGTTTCCTTATTTTTGTTAAAATTAGCTCTTTTCAAGATTGTTACTAGCAAATCTTTATTTTTATCAGTGTGCTGAGGCCAGATAGAAACATGATACTTTAAAATTATGTTTTAATTTCCTATGAACTATTTGTCAGTAAAAAAACTATTTGGCATTAAGTATTCACATACTCAAATTCTAAAAGTAATCTTTAGTCCCCAACTGAACTCTGTACTCCAAGACTTTTTAAATTTTAATTATATTTACATAATAAATATAATTTTAATCACTGAGTTCTTCCTCATCACTGAAATATTTGCTTTTCTTTATCCTTGGGCGTCTTGAATCATGTGATGTTGAGGGGCCCCCTGAACTGTGTTTCCATTTTTTTTGTTCTTCCTCAATTTTGGCTTGCTGGAATGTGATGAGAAAACAAAACAAAATCAGGAACCTGTTTAACATTATTTATGGTGCATTAAAAACATGGCAAAAACACACCACAAATGCCACCACTAACCACACTCCCAGGCCATGCAGACAATAAGATATCCCTGAGCCCCCTAAGTTCTGTCCCAGTCTCACAATGTTACTCAAAATTATCCTAGGCAATTTCTAAAAAATTGGGCTAAACTCCAGATTAAGATATAAAGTGTTGTGGGGCTCTGAAAATCTAGGAAGAACTAATGGAAATTCTTCATGCACACTACTCTAAGGATCTTAGAGAAACAGCTTCTCTCTTAAAGAATAGGGGTTGAAGGGGAAAGACAGAGGTTGCCCTGAGAAGATGATCAATAAAGCAAGCAAGGAATATAAAACGATTAACCCAAGGCAGCTATCATGTGCCTTTTAAAAAAACAATCTAGTACCTGGAATGCTATGGCCTGACTGAGGCTGTCAAGAGCAGGATCTTCTCCTTCATCTTCACTTTCTTCTACTTCCTCACTAAATTATTAAAAAAAAGATTGGAACGTAATTAACTACGAGTAAAAAGACAAAAGCAGCATAATAATGTACTTAGCAAGAGTAGATATACATACATTTCTTCTTCTGGTTCAGGAATTTTCTTCTTTTTCTTTTTTTCTTTCTTCTTTGGAGGTTCACGTTCTCCAAGCATGTTTTTAGGACAGGCATAACTTAAGTGACCACTTTCCTTTTGTTTCCCGTTAAAAAGGAAAGGAAAAATATTTGTTATTTACAGAAATATGTCTGGTATAAGTTTTTTAGAATTGAAAAAGAATATTCTAGTATTGGGAATATATAGAAGAAATTGATAAAATACACTACTTTAATACATATTTAGAAGGAAGAATCTGTGATATAACTACAATTAAGTTTACTTTAACAATTAGGGAGTTTTTGTACAGTTTTAGTAGTTTTACATAAATAAGTAGTCTTTCCTTAAAACACTTTCAAGTCTCAAGATTCAAGGTATAAAACAATTCAAAATTTAGAATTCAAAATTAGTAGAATCATCTACTCTAAACATAAAAATTTTAAATTATTTGATAAAATAGGGATAAAACTATTCCTGTTCATTTCCAAGATGCTGTTTAACATTCTGTTTAAAAACAAAAATTTTTTCCTTCTTCCCTTTTCATATTAATTACTTTCATTTTTTCTCCTTTCATATCTAGACTACACCTATACTATCCAATTACAGTAGCCACTAGCCACATGTGGCTACTGAGAAATTGTCTAAATTAACATGCACTGTAAAGGTAAAATACACATTCAATTTTTGAAGATAATGTGAAAAAAGAATGTAAAAAACCTCAATTTTTTTTTTTAATTCAAAATAGGTAATTTTTATTTTCCAAATGGAAACCTTATACTTCTTGGGACTACAAATTAAAAACTTCAGTTTTTAAGAATATTAATTACATGTTCAAATCACAAAATTTTTGATACATATTGGGTTAAATAAAAGATGTTAATTTTTACCTGTTTCTTTTTTAATGTGGCTATTAGAAAAATTTAAATTACATATGTGGCTTGCATTATATTCATATTCCTATTTGACAATGCTGGACTAGCCTATTATAATGAATTAGAACATCAAGCTGTAAAACCTAAGAAATGAGAATTATAATTTGTATATTAGCTCACTAATTTTTTTTTTTGTGTGGGTGAGACAGGGTCTCGCTCTGTCATCTGAGCCTAGAGTGCAGTGACATGATCATAGCTCACTGTAACCTCAAACTCCTGGGCTCAAGCAATCCTCCTGCCTCTGTGTCCAGAGTAGCTAGGACTATAGGCACATGCCACTTGGCAAATTTTTCCATTTTTTGGAGAGATGGGATCTTGCTATGTTGCCTAATCTGGCCTTGAACTCCTGGTCTCAAGTAATCCTCCCATCTTGGCCTCCCAAAGTGCTAGGATTGCAGGCATGTAAGCCACTGTGCCCAGCCAAGTTAAGATGTATTATGTTGAAGTGGGGTGTGGTGACTGAGCCAAGATTAAAACAATAGAAGAGAAAAATAATCATGTTTTCAAGTGTATATAACAGAGCATCAAATCGATTGTAGACTCTGTATACCTAGCACATGGGTCAACTTCAAAGATGTTACTTACTGTTAATGAACTGCTGAGAATATACAGTTAGAGAAGCATTTCCCAAATTGTGTTTTGGAATAATGTTATACCAAAAATGTTAACATATCCCATATAAAAAGAGAATTTATAGTGAAATAACCAGGTTAAATAAATGTAAACAGTTTTGGGGGAGGTAAAAAGTAAAGAAATATAGAAATGTACAAAATATAACAAATCTATGGATCCATAAACCAAAAGGGATAGATTAACAGATTCATCCAGAATTTCTCAGATAATATTTACTCTATCAGGATACATACGAATCTGAACATAGCTACCTCTCCTTTCCTTTCTTTTATAAAACTCAGGACTTTGAAACAGTTTCTAAAACATTTACATAAGAGGTTTTAGAATCACAGGAATTGACAGAATTATTCTGTATCCAGGCCACTGCTTGCTCACTTTTCTATTCATCTGTTTACCTTTTTTTTTTTGGAGACAGAGTCTCACTGTTGCCTGGGCTAGAGTACCCTGGCATCAGCCTAGCCCACGGCAACCTCCAACTCCTGGGCTCAAGTAATCCTCCTGCCTCAGCCTCCCGAGTAGCTGGGACTACAGGAATGTGCCACCATGCCCAGCTATTTTTTTCTATATATTTTTAGTTCAATTTCTTTCTCTTTTTAGTAGAGATGGGATCTCTCTCTTGTTCAGGCTGGTTTCGAACTCCTGACCTTGAGCAATCCTCCCGCCTCGGCCTCACTAGAGTGCTAGGATTAGAGGCGTGAGCCACCTCATCTGGCCTCATCTATTTACCTTTATATTTTTTATTGGGAGCAGGTAGAGAGTGGCATTTGAGGAAAGGATGCCAAACCATTTTCCTGTATCTTCCATGTGATTTTGTAGCCAGGACAATGTCTCTCAGTAATTTACTCCCCAGCTTCCCATTGATACCTCTAGACTGTGTTTCTTAAGTATTTTATATAGTCACTTTAGAAATTGAAAGCTGTGAGACCCAGACTGAAATTCTCTTAGTACCATTATAGGCCTTGTACAAAGTTGTTCTGTGGTTGTATATGCCTCCTAATCACCAAAACTTTAATGGATAATGACAGATAATGAGGAGAACTAGGTAAAAAAATGTGGGGATGGATATAATTCAGTTACAAAATATTAGCAGTACTAACAGGAAGAAAAAATAAAAAACTTTGAAACACAATATCCCATAGAGGATGGGTCACATGTGAATATTGGTACTGAATTGTAACATTTATTGGCAAAATGTTACAGAAACAGGCAATATCCTATTAATGATAATTTATGGGTTACTAAAATCTTTCAAGGCAATGGTATAAGTAATTAGTCTAACACTTTTTAAACTAACCATTTTCAAAGATTTAGGGACTAGAGAAAATACGACTTCTCAGGTTATCTCTATATACTACATTTCCATTGACTTAGATGAATCTAGAGTCCTAAATAAAACAAGTTTTAGTTTTGGTGAGCACAAATAAAAGACTGATGTGAAAAATACCTTAAAGTAGATTATGGAAAGTTCCATTAAGTTTTAGGTTTACTCACCCCACATTCGTAACACTTAGATTTATCAAAGTAGTTTCGCCTTCGGATGAACTCAGCTGCTCTTCCATTGTCAATAGCAATGCTTGCTTTTATCACTCTACCAAATAACTAAACCAGAGAAAAATAAATGCAGAAGGATGTATTTCACTAAAAACTAAAACTAGTTCTTTGATCCCATTTTTTTCAAATCTTCAATTCCATTTTATTTTTGGACTATTTTAGCAACTGCCACTTCGGTGTGATAAATTGTTCTGTAGTATTCTTATTCCTTAGAGTCCTCCAATGTGTTAGGAACCCCCTCCACCTTTGGCCTCTTTCCCTTAAGTTAGACACCCTCAGAATCTGATATACATCAGACTTGACCATCCATGGCATCCCCACATTTTTGGCCTGGCTGAGCACAAAGCCTTTTGGGTTGAAAAACCTTGATGGGAATGAGTGGCTTACCTGTTTGTTGTTTATTGCCCTCGTACAGTTTTGTGCAGAGTCTTTATCCAAAAATAAAATAAATGCAACCCCTTTACTCTTCCTGGTATCTTTATCTTTCATTATAGTAACCCTTAAATCATAAACAAATAGTTAGAATAGAGGCAGTGATAAATAAAACAGATATTAATACTTAGAAAACTAAAGTTTTTTTAGAAATGGCTAAATAAAAAGTTAATAAAGAGAAATTAATACATTCAAAAAATCAGCTATCTCTTCAAAGTCATGGGATATCAAGAATGAGAATGAGAAAGTATGATTCTGACTTAACACAAGCCAGCACAGCTATGATTGGAGTTAATCAGAGGTTGAAAGGAGAAGTAAAGAGATTATAGAGACAATGGAATCTTGAAGAGTAATTCCTCTTCCAAGTTAACTCCCTCACCTTGCAAGCAAAACTGAGGTATTTTCTCTACACAAAAAGTAAAATGAATTACTTATTTTTCCAAGTTTTAGAATCTGATTGTATTCTTAATATTCTCCTAAAGAGTATTAAGTTTACTGGTTCTTGGCCATCCCACCCTGTTGTTCATGAGTGACAGGAATAGTAATTAGAGCAGAGCCTGCTCTTTCACCTGCCCCTTACACATCCCTGGTTCTGGAGGCCCTTGCTCACCACATGCCATTTAATATGCTTTAAAAACAGTGTTTGACAGGGCTGTTTGCAGAAATGGCTGATTCCAAGGCTGAAGAGGGGCAGATAAAAGATAAAAAAGAATGAAAAAGAAAGAAATGATGGGGCAGAAGAATACAGAAACCAGTGGGAAGGAGCTCCCACTGGTCAAATTTGGGACAATTTGAGTGCCAAAATAATTAAGTACCAGTAATAAATTATAAACCACAGAAAAAGTAGGAATTCATAAATCTTAATGATAACAGACAAATAACTGGGGTTGAAGGGAGGGCTCTTGCTTACAGCAGAATGCCAAGGGATGACTAGTGAATGTAAGGAGTGCTGGAGTTGGATGAAAAAAACACCATTTGGCAATAATCATGGTAAAGATTGGATCAGGCAAGAACCATCAACAAGTGCTAAATCTAAAATGAAATTTTTTTGTGGAGCAGGATACTTGTATGGTCTTAGAGTGTCTCCCATGGACTGCTTATTAATTGCAAAGGCAAAAAAGAATATAGTGAAAGAACTGGACAACACCTTGACTGTGTGATGAAAATTAGTATCATAAGTGAGGGAAAGATGGCTGGTGTATGCATCCAGATGTGGTTCGCTGAGAAGAACACATCATTTGGGCAGTATGACAAGAACATGTAACCTGAGTCTAATAATGAAGAAACATCAGAAAAACACAAACTTAGGGGGAAAAAAGAATGGGAGGTAGGCTATATTCCTTACAATTGTTCCAGACTTTTAAAGGGGGGTAAAAAGATAGGAGAGTTAAAGGCAATACTTAACTCTGGAGTCTGTAATAGAGGGGGAAAATGCCATGTTGGACATTATTAAGTCAACTCACAAAACTGGAACATGGATGGTTGGAATCAGACTGCTAGATTCAAATCTTGTCTCTATCATTAACTAGCAATATGACCTTAGGTTTACTCTGGGCTTCAGTTTTGTCATTTATAGTATTAGGATAATGACAGTACCTACCTTGAAGGGCAGTTGTGAGAATTAAATGAGATAATATACCTAAAGAGATTAGAACAATTCCTAGCATATGTATGTATTCATTTAAGTGTTATATATCATCCATCATTACTAGTGTTTTGACTGATGATGATGATGACTGTTCAAAATCTAAAGACCCAGAAATTTACCCAGAATCATATTTGATTTTTTTTTTTGGAGACAGAGTCTCACTTTTGTTGCCCAGGCTAGAGTGAGTGCCGTGGCATCAGCCTAGCTCACGGCAACCTCAAACTCCTGGGCTCAAGCGATCCTCCTGCCTCAGCCTCCCGAGTAGCTGGGACTACAGGCATGCACCACCATGCCCGGCTAATTTTTTTTGTATATATACTTTTAGTTGGTCAATTAATTTCTTATTTTTAGTAGAGACGGGGTCTCGCTCAGGCTGGTTTCGAACTCCCGACCTCAAGCAATCCGCCCGCCTCAGCCTCCCAGAGTGCTAGGATTACAGGCGTGAGCCACCGCGCCCGGCCCATATTTGATTTTTAATAGCAAAATTAACTAACTTAATAATTTCAAGATGCAAATAAACATCAACTGTTTAACACCCATTTATGGAAAGCTAGGAGAAAAATAACTAGTGAAGATAAATATGCACTAAATTCTTGAGATTTTAAATTTATACCAGAATATATATTGATTAGAAGATATACATTGGTTAAAAGATAGAATGACAATATCTTGCTTTTACTTCATTGCCCCATAATATAGTTGCTTGATCTATTTTAAAATAGTGAATTGAATATGAAAACCTCAAGTTCTTTTTGTCCTTTCTTTTTTTTTTTTTTTAAATTTTTTTTCCTGGGCTCTAGAACCATGTCCTTTCTTAATTCTCAGCCCCAATTGCTTTTATCATCCATTACCATTTTTGTAAATTTCTAATTCTCCAATGATATCTAAGCTTTCTATGAAGGCAGAGAATGTTTTCTATTTATCAGCCTCATAAGTGCTTGTAAGTTATATGCATTAAAACATTTGTCTTTACACTATTTGATAAATGGCAATCCTTTTATAGTGTACTTGATAACATATCTCTTAGTCATCAAAATATTTTAGTCAGAGCCTTTATGTGTTACATTGAATAACAGAATTAGTTTTAGTTCTTAGTAGTACAGTGAGAAATTATAAAGATTGTTTATATAAATTATGATATACAAAGGAAAACCATGAAACCATTTGATATGAGGACATATCTTTATAGGACATGGAAAGACATTTATGATATAATGTCAAGTTTAAAAACCTGTCATTAAAAAAGTAATGGAGAAAAAAAAAAGTAATGGAGAAACCAATTCAGATGTAATTTTAAATGAAGTTTCAAAATTTAATGTGAATACTTACTTTACAACTTTGCCATACTTAGAAAATATCTGAAACAAAAGACCACATATTAATTTACAATTTAAGACCATAAAAAACATTACATTTTCAGTTGTATATAAAGACCAAATTCTTTTGTTATAGTTTATACATACTGCTTCAGTTCCTAAATTTCTGACAATGGAGTGGATACAGAGAAAAACACTCTACGTGAGTGGTAGATCTAAGGCATACATATTCCTATGTTCCTGAGGTATATCCATGGCAACTATCAATTTCACCATAGCACCAGCTAAATCTATGCTTCAAATCTCAATGTTGTAGAATATCACTATTTTTATCCTACCTCTACCACATTAAGTGATCAGTGTTTTTAGGAAGACCGATCCTTAGACTGCTTAAAAAAAATAAAACAAAACAGGCCGGCACAGTGGCTCACGCCTGTGATCTCTGCACTTTTGGAGGCTGAGGTGGGAGGATTGCTTGAGGCCAGGAGTTTCAGACCAGCCTGGGCAATATAGCAAGACCTTGTATCTACAAAAAATAGAAAAATTAGCCAGGCATGGTGGCACATGCCTATAGTCCCAGCTACTTGGGTGGCTGAGGCAGGGGGATTGCTTGAGCCCAGAAGTTTGAGGCTAGTGAGCTGTGATGATGCTATGGTACTTTAGCCTAGGTGACACAGTAAGACCTTGTCTCAAAACAAATAAACAAAACAGATAAACAAAAAAGCTTTTACAATGAAATATCATTTCCATCAGTCTCCTTTCTCTGCCCACCATTAATATGCTGGTGGTACTTTATAGTTGGCCCTTTCCCCTTTTACTTCTACATCTTGACCCTAAGCAATCTTAGTGAAAGCCAGAGTCCTTACCATGATCTATACAGGCTCTAAAAGGCATCCCAAGCGTGTTCACCTCTGATTACCCCTCTTCTACTGAAATGCTTGTCGTCCAGACATCTGTACAGCTGCCTTTTACTTGCTTCAGGTCTTTATTCAGGTCACCTTCTCAAGAAGGGCCTTTCTGACCACCCTATATAACATTTCACTTCTGTTCCCAGCTTACCATTTAATAGCCCTCCTTTCCTGCTGTATTAAAAATAATACAGGTGCCTCCTTAGTATCTAACATTTTAGCATCTCCTTAGTATGTAACATATAATTTGATTTTTTTAATATTTTGCATTGTTTCTCTCTCCTGCTGTACTGTGTGAGTGCCAAAAGGGATTGTTATCTTTTTGTTCACTGATGTGTCTCTAGTACCTGTACACAAGTTGCTCCCAGTTCATTAACACTAGTTCTGTCTTCTGTGTTTACAAAGAACTTGCCATTCTCTATAAAGACACTGTAAATTCTCTTTGGAAATTACAAATTTCTAATTTTTTTCACTTATGTTTGCTATAGAGGTCTTTGGTATTGATGGTTTAAGGGCATTGTAATGTACTTATTGAGAATTTTGCCAGGGAGAACTGTTTGCTTAAGCTACATCAGTATCTCAAATTGAGAATTCAGTAGATAAACGTACGAATACTAAAATTTACTTACCCTGTATAAATCATTGTTTGTCAAGGAAAAGGGCAAGTTGGATACATACACTGTGCTTTTACTTGGAGCCAATCCACCACTCATTTCTAAAAAGGAAAACAAACCCATAAGCAATCTCAACCAGGTATTCTTCAGTCCAAATAAAATCAACACAGTACTGACAATCACTGATTTAATTATGCCAGATTTATACACCTTATGTTTTAGGAAGGTAGGAACAATGACCCCAGCTGGGTGAATTAAGGAATTCCTTTTATCCAGCCATCACTTAAAAGAATTTTTTAGTCCTTTTTCTTTCAAGAAGATTCTTTACACTAACCCTTTCAGTGCCTGCCTGTGTGTGTACAGAGAAGGGAATTTTAAACAGATGAAGGAAAAATCATGAGACTACTCTTTTTTTTGAGACAGAGTCTCGCTTTGTTGTCCAGGCTAGAGTGAGTGCTGTGGCGTCAGCCTTGCTCACAGCAACCTCAAACTCCTGGGCTCAAGCGATCCTTCTGCCTCAGCCTCCCAAGTAGCTGGGACTACAGGCATGCGCCACCATGCCCGGCTAATTTTTTTTATATACATATCAGTTGGCCAATTAATTTCTTTCTATTTATAGTAGAGACGGGGTCTCGCTCTTGCTCAGGCTGGTTTTGAACTCCTGACCTTGAGCAATCCGCCCGCCTTGGCCTCCCAGAGAGCTAGGATTACAGGCGTGAGCCACCGCGCCGGGCCATGAAACTACTCTTAACATTCCCTCAGCATAAGAGCAAAAAAGTGCTTTCAGATATGTACACACTACCTTGCCCACCCAGGTCAGAAAGAGCCTGGGCGTCTGAAAGAATCTTTGCCACTGATTTTTTTGCTAATACACAGTCATGCATTGCTTAACAAAGGAGATATGGTCTGAGAAATTTGTCATTAGGTGATCTCGAGGTCCTGTGATCATCATAGAGTGTATTTATGCAACCTAGACAGTATAGCCTATTGCTCCTAGGCCACAACCCTTTATAGCATATGTACTGAATACTGTAGCTAATTGTAATACACTGGTAAGTATTTGTGTATTTAAACATAGAAAGGTACAGTAAAAATACAGTACAGTGTATTATAATCTTACCACCACGGTTTATGCGGTTCCTCATTGACCTAAACATGGTTATGCTGTGAATGACTATACTGCGATTTGGTACCTTTTTTGGCTGCCTTACTATATTTCCCAGGAGTGGTGTTAAGAGGAAATTTTAGCCTAACAAGAACAATGTGAAGTTTTTTTGAATCATTAATTTTGCATAGTATTGCCAAATAATGAAATGATGCATTATTTAAATAGATTCAGTGCATTGAAAAAGGATATTGACATATATATATATATATATATATTTTTAATACAGAGTCTCACTCTGTTTGTTGCCTAGACTAGAGTGCCCTGGCGTCAGCCTAGCTCACAGCAACCTCAAACTCCTGGGCTCAAGCGATCCTTCCGCCTCAGCCTCCTGAGTAGCTGGGACTACAGGCATGTGGCACCATGCCCGGCTAATTTTTTCTATATATTTTTAGTTAGCCAATTAATTTCTTTCTAATTTTAGTAGAGATGGGGTCTCACTCTTGCTCAGGTTTGTCTCGAACTCCTGGCCCCAAGAGATCCTTCCGCCTCTGCCTCCCAGAATGCTAGGATTACAGGTGTGAGCCACCACGCGTGGCCTATATTTTTAAGTTTACAAATGTAATCCGTAATTTTCACACTGTATTTTACAAATTCAGCAAATTATCCGTGAAAACTGTATCAAACTCAACCGTTAAGTTCAAATTTCCGATTTAAAAAGCGCGTGTGGTATGTGAGATGGGGATATGGACTACTACAAATGGCAAAATACTGATTCTAAGGCATGCCAATTTGCAAAGTAATGAGAAAGTTGCCTGATGCTTGGTGTTCTGGGGGAATCATTTAGAAAACTTTAAGAACTCAACATCGTCGATACGTCGCTTTTTAAAAGTTTCTCATTTGAAACTATACGTTAGACGTTCTGGTGAGAAATCTGAGGGCAAGCAAAGGTTAAAGTCCGGGAATAAAAAGGGTGGTGGGAGAAAGGGGGAAATGGTTTTGGCTACCGGGTCTGGGGAGGGAGCTCGCAGGAGAAAAGGCCGCAGCTAAGGAGGCGTTTACCTTCAGGTGGGGCGGGTCCAGGAGGCCAGAAGAGCGCGAGCCCTCGGCTCACCTTGGGGCTCAACCCCGACTCTTCCCTATCCCTCGCTGAGGCCTTGGCATCACCGGTTCTGGGAGGGGTCAGGCGCGGAGGCGAGATCGTAGCTTCAGCTGGTGCCTCTTCTCGGTTTTGAAAAACCTGGGCCCCGGAGGCGGGCCCAGAGGCGGGCGCTTTTGCTCACGTCATTGAGTGCGCCGGAAGTGCCTACCTGGGATTGCGGCGGCGAGCGGCCGACTACGTTTACGGGTTTCCCGGTGGCCCAGAGTCGGTGAGCGCATTTTACCTTTACAAGAGGCAGATGGGACGGGCTCCAGGGCTGCCACACCTGGGGGAGCGGGCGGGAGTTTTCCGTGGCGGGTTCTGGAGACTCCTGCCGCCTTGGAATCGTGCAACAATCCTGCCCATGCGGTTGAGGGTGGAGAGACGCAGTGGAGTTTGGAATAAAGAAAAGTGTTGAGTCTAAGATACAGGTTCGCTTCTCTTCAGCGCCTTAACATGCAAAAAGAAGACTGAGCTAGGTAACTTCAGTGACCCTAGTCCAGTCCGGAAGTCAGTAATTTTACTGAATGAGTTCAACGTACTCAGGCCGGTATTAGGCACGTTGGGAGCTACAAAAAAAAAAAAAAAAAAGCGCAAAACAGTCCCCTGTCCCCCCCCCCCACCGGCGAGGTCTCAGTCTAGTTGGGGAGTCAAGGCCAACTTGGGGAGAGTTGGATTCACAAAATGACTCATCTTGAGTATTGGTATGGACAAATGTTTAACTTCTTGGCACCTTTTTTCTTCCTGTAAGTCTATAATGGGCACGCACTGCTTTTTCTCTAAGGGGCTGTAACAGTCCCATCATTCCTCCAGAAAAATCAGAAAATAATGCAAGGTAGTTTATACTTAACTTCTACCCACCAGCACACACAGACCAGGCCTCTAACCACTCCCTGGGAGCCTGCGTGCCAGCAGCCTGGAACCCAGAGCCTCTTGCGGAGCCTGCACAATGAATCCCGACTGAAGCCGATGTCTTCTAGAGAGACGGAAGCGCAATACTACCAGGGCGCTGCAGAATTTTGAGAGGCCTGAATGCCTCCGCGTCCGCGTCCGCGTCCGCCAGGGGACCGCTGGGACTAATTCTCTTGGCAAACTTGTGGCCAGCCAAACCTACCATGCTTCACATCCCTGTTATCCTTGGTTACCGCCCAAGATGTAAGCCCCTTTGCTCTTCTATGCTATACCCTCATCCCCGTGCTGCTTAGTGCCTCCTCCCCCTTGACTTAGGCTATCACTGCTTCTCCTTTTCTTCCCATCTCACTCCTCAATACCGCATCTGCTCTCTGAAACTTGTATTCCTTACTTAACAAACTCTTTTACATATTCAGCTTCTTTACTGAAATTCTCTTTCATCTTCTCACCATAACTAACACATGGCTTTTCCTGCTAGCTGTTTTCAGTTGAGCCCATTCTCTGACACCTACCTTTAAGCTTGAGCGTGGCTGTAGCCATATTGAACTGATTTCACTTTCTCACAATACTTTTTTCTCCCTTCAAATGTCTTTGCAAAGGCTCTTTTCTTTCTCTGGGACATTTGATCTCCTTGTCCCCTCCTAATTCTTTCTGGATAACTCCTACTCTTGTTAAAGATCTGAGTTTAGCTGTCACTTTATCTGAGGTGTATTCACTAACTTCCACAGGTAGAGTTAGGTATCCTTGCCATGTGCTCTTAAGTGCCTATACTTTCCTGATAGCATTCATTACTTGTGTCCTAATTGCTTGTCTCTTTGCTTTCCCTACTAAGCCAGGATGTGGGAGGAGGGATCATGTTTGTCTATCTTTGTAACTCCAGTGTCTAATACGGTTCCTGGCATATAACAAGGCAGTCAGGTATTTCTTGAATTATTGTAGGTGCTGAAGGTAATGGTCTCAGGTCAGGCAGTTAATATTTAAAAACCTGTGGAAGGGGTGAGCTGCCACTTAGCTACAGCTGATTGTGGCTGTGTGAGGATGTGAGCCCAGTGCTGCCAGAACATCTACTTTTTTCAAGGAAAGTTGAGAATACAGTTTTTAAATGTTGTAAGTGGAATTAAATTGTGCTTTGAAAAGACGTGGGCCTGGCCGGGTGGAGTGGCTCATGCTTGTAATCCTAGCACTCTGGGAGGCTAAGGTGGGAGGATCACCTTAGGTCAGAAGTTCGAGACCAGCCTGAACAAGAGCGAAACCCAGTCTCTACTAAAAACAGAAAAATTTAGCCAGGCATGGTATGCATGCCTGTAGTCACAGCTACTCGGAAGGCTGAGGCCGAAGGATGACTTGAGCCCAGGAGTTTGAGGTTGCTGTGAATTAAGCAGACACTATGTCACTCTAGCCCCGGCAACAGAGGAGACTCTTTCTCCAAAAAAAAGGAAAGAAAAAAAAAGACAAGGGCCAAATACAAGTTACACGTGACTTCTATCAGTCACCAGTTTGCAGTCTGTTTTAAGTTTTGTAGGGTTCATATGATGAGCTTTGTGTAGAATAATGATTTTGAGCTGAGCCTTGTTGGATTCTTGTGTGAATGAGAGAATGGAAAGAGATATTCCAGTTTGGAAAATAAACAACTCCAGGGTAGTGTATGTTACTCTGTGGCACAGTGAGGAGACTAGCATGAATGAAGCTTTTGGGGAGAATAGGTGGGTTAGATGAAATGGTAAAAGGAGGCATATAGAGGACAGAGAAGTGTGGATTTATTATGGTTAATTACAAACCTTTGGATTCTTGATCACAGAAACTTCACATTATGAATATGCATTAACAAGTTGATGAATATCCTTTTCTAGTGAAATAGAGGGTAAAACACCAGCAGGAGGCTACCAGTTAAGACCTTAACCTCCATTTGGTTATGAAATAAGATTTAAATTATACATAGGCAAACATCTAGCATTTTTATTTACATGTATAATTTGCAGTTAATTGATCACTTATAATAGATAATCAGGAATCTCCTACTAAATATTTAATACAGTAAAGCGGGATTATAAAAATTATTAAAGCATTGAAAAGTAAAGTGACTTGTGAAGCCAGTAGAGCATGCAGTACCTTAAAAGTGCTCAAAACGTTTTAGGAAACAGTGGTCTCTTTGCCTCTAGCCTCTTTCTGCTCTAATCACTGTTACTTACTGCTGTCTTCTGGAATGACATTTTTCCCCTACCTTGTTTGTTTCCAGGCTTAAGAGCCTGCAGTGAGAAGCTTCTTGTCTAGTGTTTTGCTTTTGTTCCATTTAAAACCCTTGAATCTGTTCTCTCTGTCCTTGCCTGTGTCCTTTGTGAAGCAGTGTAGTAATGATGGAAAGAGCTTGGGCTTTTTTTTTTTTTTTTTTGTGTCAGAATTTGACATGGGTAGAGCTTGGGCTTTAAAGTCATGCAAGACTGAGTCTGACCTCAGCCTGTATTTGGCTCTGGGATTTAAGCTTTTAGAGCTTCCATGTTTTTATCTGGAATGTGAGAGGCAGTATCTCACATTAGGGTTGTGTGGGAAAGAGTTTATATAATTTGAAAGTGTATTACACAAATTCTTGCATATAGGGAAGGGAATGAATGCTCCTTGAACATCTGTGTAGGTTGATTGCCCACTCCCTTGCAGTGCAAATCTTTTGCTCTGCTCAGTTCTATCTTCTTTCTCATGCACTTTGTCTTCCCTACTGCCTTTGCCTTTTTTTTTGATTCTGCTATTCACTATTGTCCATCTACATTTAAGCAGTCTCTCAAGATTGTGTTTACATTTTCTTAGCTTTCCTAAAGGCTTTCTTTACTTACCACTGCCTGCATTTATCTCTCCCTGAGCACTGAACAGTGCTGAATTCTAGTAGATACTTTGCTCTGTTTTGACCATTTTAGTTGGCATCAGTGTTGTTTTTTTTGAAAACCTAAATTAATTATGTTCTAAAAGTTATTTTTAGTTTAGTTGTCTGGAATTTCAAACATTTCCAATGGAAAATTAGAATATTAATAACCTCTGAATACTGAGCACATGCATTATACAGATTGTTCTAGGTTCTTAATATTAATCAATGAACAACATATCCCCACTTTCATGTAGCTCATATTTCTAGTAGTGAGGGACCAATAATATGCATTAAATGTAAACTATATAGTATCTTAAATGACTAGTGCTCTAACACAATAGCAAGATTAAGAAGATCTGGCAGTAAGTGACATGAAGAAGGTGACATTGAAGGGTGAGGAAGTTAGTCATGCAGATACCTATAGAAGTACATTCTAAGCAGGATATTGCAAGTGCACAGTGTGAGGTCAAATGGACTCTTCTATTCACTGTGGTTGGCTATCAATAGTTGTTGAATGAATTTAAAAAGTGAAAGGAATGGGTTTGGGGAAGAGGGAAAGCTATTTATCCTGAGCCTATTTAATAATAGAAGCTGACTACATCAGAATGCAGTTACTCTATAGCCTATTAATGGAGCCAGTTTGGATAAAGTGAAAAAGCAGATCCATTACCTTGACTTTGGATTGAAAGTGTGAGTGATTTGACAGAAGGATATTGCCTGTGACTTTTTCTCAATTTCCATACCACTTTCATTTAGAATGCAAGTCCTCCATATCCTCTCAGACCTCAGTTGAAGTTAACATTAATAATCATTGGGTAGCTTAATAGAGTGCTCTAAGAAAGGCTTATTTTTTCCCCTGGAATTAAATATGCCATGATGGTATATTAAACATAGCCTTTTCATTGACTATGGGATTTAAAAGAGTGAGATTTTTATAATCTGGAACCATTTGTTAGCACGCTTCTAAATGAAGCTTGCATTCCCCACTCTGAATTCTAATTCTATTCTCTGCCTAATTGTGCTGTAGAGGGTCCTTCAATTTTTCTGTTGTATTCTCCAGTTTGCATATTCTGTTGATGTAGAGAACTTTTCTGGAGTACTTTTGAGATTCCACTAATGTGAGGAGACTTAGTGAAATGATCACACTAGTAGCATGAACACTCACTGGGAGTGAGAACACTTTTGTATAAACATAGCTGATTGGTTGTGGGATGGGTCAGTTTCTTTAGTGTGGATAATGTCATAAACATATCACTAATCAGAAGATGGTTGTACTTATCAGCTATTTTAAATTCCTTTGAAATTTACAAGGTGCTATTTGAATTTAAGGTGATGTTAACATATTCTCTCCCCTAATTACCATATAGTACTTTCATCAGTGTATCTTCTTTTTGTAATAGCTGTTCCCTTTTCTGTTATTGTAATTCAAGATCCAGCTTAAGGCCCATCTTCTTTACAGCCCAGTATTCTTCCTTTTCTTTTGTACCCATTCACAAAACTGTGTCTTCTATTTTGTTTTAATAATAATATAGGGCTGCATATGGAATCTTTTTTTATATTCCTGCCTTCCCCAATTATGTTACAGATTTCTTTAGGATGAAAATTCAATAATTTAGCATGGGGCCTTACCAGTGCTGTTTAATTTTTGAATTTTTTGTTACTAGTGGATGCTAATTATTTTTGCTACACCAAGCCCTATTTAATTCTACCTACTTTGTATTTTAATAGTTTAAAATTCTTTATTCTGAAAGTATCTAGTAATTTAGATAACAATAAAACGTTTTCTGATACTGCTGTTTTGTAAAAGCAGTAGGTAGGTATGGTAAGAGTACTAAACACCTGAAGATTCTGTAAAGAGGTTAATTTAGTGTTTTAGAATACTCGCCAGTAAGAGAGATAATTTTAAAAAATGACATAATTACAGATTATAGTGCAACTTCTATATTTAAGCATTGTGTTTATAGAAACTCAAGCAATTTAACTATTTGTAGAGGAAACTAATTTCGATTTATATGCATAATAATTGACATTTTAAGTTAAGATCCTTAAAAACTGTTGACTTTTTAAGGTAAAGAGAATTCATTTACTTTATTTACTGAACATTTTAACTTGAAACTGTGATTTATATAGCTCCCTATAAGGTAACTACTCCACTGGGGCATCATCAGGTATGCAGTCAAATGTACAAAGTTGTTACAGGATTAACTGTAGAGGTTGAAATTGTAGTAACAGTAGTGCAGTATCTGGCTGTTTCAAGGATGCTGCTTGTTTCTAGTAGAAATTAAGTTTAATACACAGATTGAGGGCTGCAGAAGTGATTGTTAACTTTAGGAAATTCAGTAAATTTTCTTTTAAATTTTTTATTGTGGTAAAATATGTAAAAGTTACC